GAAAAAACTGACCAAAACTTGGCCCGGAACATAGAAAATACAAATACAAATACTTTATTAGAGTATAAAATTACAGAACACATGTTACCAAAAAGCAATTGATATTGAAACTATAACCATAACTGTTAAAAGTACTCATGGCTTTCTTAAATATCTATGGACATTCAGTCAAAAACTCTTCAAAGAGTAAGGCTTGGAGTTTCGTGAACGTGACTTTCTTAACTTGATCTACAATCCATTTAACTAATCGGTCCTTAATAAATTACTCATGGGAAATAAAACACGAAAGCGTTATGCTACAGTTCAGCTTTATTTTTTCCCTTGGCACCAGCGTCAACAATCGTGTTTAAAATTCGCCCAAAGAAACGGCCTCCGAGATAGCACTGATCACTTAAAGATACTTTCACTTAAAAATCTCAACAAAAACTAGGGATCAGCTATCTGCTCAAATCCTGCGAATTTTCATTTCCTAAAAACAATTGATTGATGGTTCAAATCCATGCAGTTAAAGAAAAGAATTAATAATACTGAGATACTGTCTGTGGGAATCGACGCTAATCACTGTACCACTCATCAATTAGGAAGAACGGATATACAGTACCTCCGATGCTAATTTGTAGGATAGATAACATCAGCCATCGCCTATCGCTAAATTCAAAGCTAAAACCAAATCAAAATGCCAACTTCGAAATTTTATTAGTTGTGAAATATTCACACAGGACCAGAAACACTTTCTTTTAGCCGAAAAAGCGAATAGTTCATTAGGGTTTGGCATTATTAACAAAGTTTTATTGAAAAAAAGAGTCTCACTTAATAATCTAGTCTAAGCAAAGAAGAACAAAGCTATTAAAATATGTATGCCAGAAACTTTATTTTGAACATTTATTAGGGAACAGAGAGCTACTTGTTTATCGTTAACTTTTTCATCTTTCTGGCTACCTGGCTTGATGTTTTTTGATTAATATTCCAAATCGGTTTCATTTGAAAGCGGAACTGAAGTAATGAATTATTGTCTCCTTTGGAGCAAATATTTTTAATTGACATTAAGGTCTTTCTTAGTGTCGATATTTTTTTTTCGGAAATAGCTTAACAATCATATTGTATCATATCTTTTGGAACTATAAGAGTAATTGATTTTAGGCTCATTAGCCAAATGGCAGTTATGCTGCGTTTCCCCTCTTTTGAATTCTACAATAGCCCAGAGATAAAATTCCCCGTTAAATCTAATCATTGAAACCTTTCACAAATTTAACATTTCGGAAAAAGACTCCTTGACCATTTTTTCCCATAACAAAATAGGTTTTAAAGTTTCCTTTAAAAAAAAAACAATTGCTTAGGATAAACGTGAGTTGATGAAATAATGGAAATGTCAAATTTTAAACTTACATTACATAAATTAAGTAATTGTGAAGTCTGACGACATGGCGGCTTTTGTTTGGCATTACATGAGAGCCTTCCACAAAGCTATTATCTCTTTTCGGAGATCTGATATTTATAAGTGGTCAATATCCTTTCACGTAAGAAGAAAGATGATGTAGATATATACAACGGATATATCTTTCCCACTGAATCCTGATTTTACTTCAGGTTTAGCTGCTGCAGCACCCAGACAATTCACAAACTAAAACTCGTTCGCTGACTGAAATGTAAGTAGTGCTTTTTCTATTTGCTCATATTTTTTTATTATTTCTATGGGTTTGTTACAATCGAAAAAATGTCCTGGTATTGTTTCCCTGCCATTTCGTTTGATCTAGCTTAGTTTTCATGAAATTTCAATTATTTGATCATCTCCGCGCCCTCTTTGAAGTGTACTAAACGATTTTAGGTGCAAAAGGGTTTACTGAAGGCAAAAATGTATGATTACAATACTAGATCGAGGCAAATAATTACAGTCCTTTGTCAGAGCTTTAGTCGACCTTAAGTTACTTCCAGTTTATTTTTTATATAGTATTTGATCAAGGCAAGGCTTTTTATCTTGTTTTTAACGTAATTTTCTCTATTCAGCCTTTCTCTAAAACAGTTAACTCATTGATACTTTTGAGTCGACGGATCTCTTCATTATTCGGGTGAAGTCAATTGTCACATCCACCACACATTTTCCCAATAAGTTTACCCCATACCCTGATTACGAACAATAATTCTCCGATCTTATTTCAATCACCCTTTTTTATAGAAGTTTCCTGATATTTCCCCAGTTCATGGAGGAAATGTTTGTTTAAAAACTGAGGGAATTTGGAATTGTTCTCGATTGGTCTGTCATCCTCGGTGTTCTGAGAAGGAACAACAAAGCAAAGTCGCGCGTTCCTAATCTTCCGTCAGCTTTTCTTCCTCGCAAAAAAATATTCCAGTGAAAGGAAAACATTCGATTCACAATCGTTGACGCAAAATTTCGTCACTTTTAATTTTTTTCTTATAAACATACGAATTTGTGTGAGAAGGCATCATGCTAAATACGAATTGACTTAAACGATTTAAAGAGTTTGTGAAACTTGGTAATTGGCAAAGTAACTTTTGAGATTTTAGACCACTCCCCACAAAGAGAATTCAATACATCAGGCTCAAATTCCTTAGGATAGTTAATCGTGACATGCCCTTTCAAAACTCGGAGCATGTATTTTGGTACTTCAATCGAAAACTGAGTTTCGCATGCTAATGAGGTTAATACATTGTAAACAAAGATTCACCTAAGTCAGGCTTAACCAGTCTTGACAACTTCAAAGAGGAAGGCCGCGGAAACAAATACTACATGTTGGCGAAATAGGTTGAAAAAAGTAAGATTCATTTCATGATTATCCTACGATGAAGAAGTAAAATATTAGCAGCCTTTCATCGCTCTAAAGTTCTAAGATTTGAAGCGTTTGTGACAAACCCATTTCAGTGCCGCAATGTCAATAGCTCTTATTGCAGTTGAGCCTGCAGTCAAATATTCCTTTGTTTAAAAAGGCATACAAACGAGGCGACCTGGTCAATACAAAGCAAAATTGACCCTTTCGCCACGTTTGTATGTCAAACCGCTGATAACTTCAATAACAGCTATTTCAAGTTTTGAACCTATCACGGCGGCCAAAGTTAAATCAGTGGCATTACTGTGTTGTAATGTCGTCTCTCTTGTGAGAAAAATTATGAGATGCTCGCGATTCTTAAATATAGTGAGGTATATTAATAAACAAATAAATAAATAAATAAATAATTAAAATATATGTATAGCGCTAAATCCAATAATTGTCAATGGCACTTTACATTAAAGGTTATTAAAAATCTTAAAGAAAGGGGGAAAAAATAAAGGGGAAAAATAATAGGAATAAACTTCTAAGATCTTTAATTTATATTCTGTAAATTCTATATTTATATTCCGTAAATTCAGTATAACGATTACGTGGAATGGCCACAGCGGGGATGAGCCAATCGAAAGTCTCAAACAGAGCTCAATAAAATCTGTTTGTTGCTATTCCTACTAGCCTTATATGTTTGAAATAGTTTTTTCACTCTTTAATCCTTTCCGATTGTTAAGCTATATATGGAAGCAGCAGAGCGCAGTTGTGCCACCGGTACTCATAAAACTATAGTTGCTTTTGCCTGCGCCTCCAGTGCTTCATAGATGTCTCTCGTGCTGTTCAAACTTCTCGCTTTCATTCATACCTGGCCACACTCTCTGTACTCAAAGCATCCACCTTATGGAACTGAATGAGTTTAGTGGTTTGTTTGGGGGCTATTCCAAGGATGTTTGAAGAAAAGCAGTTTGACCGGTCAAGCTTGATTCTAACTTGCCTGAGTGAGGTAATAGCCGGAAGGGTTTTCCAGCCTTTAGACCGAAAATGGCGTTTAGGCTACGAATTTCCAGTTACATATTCAGTCGCTGATAATAGAATTGTCGTTGAATCGCTAGTCAATCTTTCTTTTTCTTTCAATCTTTAAGTTAACCCAAGAAATTCACCATGAGGAAGGTATTGGCCACAGCGCTGTTTCTTGGGCTATTGGTGGGGACATTCTTTGGGTCAGGGCAGGCCCTTATTCGTGGTGGGAGAAATATGATTCCAAATCAGCCCGCTGAAGAAGACGCTGACATAATCTACGAAATGTACGACAGAGCTCAAAAAGTACCTCGTTATTCCAAACGAGGTAACTAGTTGTTAAACTATTACTTTACAGTAAATAGTGTTATTCGGGTTGTCACAAAGTCCTTCCGAATACAAGCTTTGGAAGTCCTCGGCATTGCCTGGAGTTTTTGAACTTTGACCTGCATTTCCTGAAAATACTGCTTCTGATTTACACAAAGATCTTTTCTCCGGACTTCATGCCCACAGCAGTAAGGCTATTTAAAAAACTAGTTTCAAACCCCCGTAGGACAATGATGACAGATCTGAGACAATCTTTTCGCTACCCTTTCCTAGTGTCCTTCGCAGCATCTAAGTCACCGATTGAGATCCACACTTTTTAACAAATGAACTGGAAGTTTCAACACATTATTAATCTGAGTTATTTGAACTAAAAGCTACAAGCTTCCATAAACACCGTCCCTGATCAACAAATTAATCATTACTTTTAAAAACTACTTAATTTGAACTAACAGTTCCATTCTTAGCGCAATCCCCCACAGTTACGTTACACATTGTCCTAGAGATGTCAAATGATTCACTGATGTATATGCGACCTCAAAACAGCGGAATTGTGAAAAAAAGTTAGCAGTTTAATGACCAACCCTAAATCGGCATACTCTGACCCCCACTCAGCCCATAACTTGCTTACGCAATTCACGAGTTAACAAGTAACTTTCTAGCAAGTCAGTTGTTTTCTGTTTAATTGTTGCTCTTTCACTAATGTTACAGAGAAATGGAGATGGGAGGAAAGTGAATCCTAAACAGTAAATAGTGACTACTACAATCCTGTCAGCAAAACGGATCAACTACTGGCTAAAATGTCTAAACAATAATTAACTAAGAAAACTGAAACTGTGAAAACAATTTGAAATAAATTTATACATCATGGGAACATACAATAACCATGTTTATTTATGAAGAATTATTTCATTCGTAAACTTAGTTTTTTTATTTATTTATTTATTAAGTGAAGACTGCATTCTAAATGTTACTGAAACGTCTCAATTTTAGTTTACTGTTACTTTAGATGTTTGCCTCACTCTATTTTCTCTGCTTGTTGTGTTTTGGTTGGAATTTACAAGATATTAATTTTTCGGCTCGCACTCAACCTTAGGCTCGATTACCAGCTGCTGTTCGGGAAAGGAGCCCGCGCTCCCCCCGCAAGCTCATGGCTGGACTCGTGGACTTCACATTGTTATTTTCAACCAATAAGAATATCTGCCTGCCTGAATCGTGCAGGCCGCATAAATTAGCTTTCCCGCGGTAGCAGAGAAGTTGTGCGATATGAAGTGCGATCGCATTAGTGGGACATTTAACCAAATACCGTCAACTGATGAAATCTTGTCTAATCTAAACCATAGTGGCATATACAACATACAAAATAGTCAACAGCCTAATGCGTTAGAATCTATATTTGAATCATGAAGTGCCAGAATTTCAGATAACGAACAAAGTCAACGAAGAGAGGAATAAAAGCAAACATCGATCTCAGTCAAATTGATGTGTACGGCAGTCTTCTTGAAGGGAAGCGACACCAGTC